TAGGTTTCTCTGTTCAAAAAGAGGATATATTAGTAGATAAAGATAATTATCAATATTAAAGATCATAATATTTTATAAACATAAATCAGTAATCGGTAATCGGTAATCATCAACCCTTAACCGTCATTAAAACAATACCTTCAACCTCCATAACTTCTGTCCAAAACTTAGAAACCTTATTACTGGACTCATGTATAACTAATTCTAAATCAACTATTGATTTGGTAGTTGTTGCTAATTTGATCTACATAAATAAAATAGAATAGGATTTTCAATTTAGCTATTATTTAAAACATTCACATCTTATCAGGGGAAAAACCCTTACAAATTCTGGTCGATTAAAATTTGGTGGCAAATCATTGCTTTGATCTGGTTGTACTTCTTTGGTTTTTGTAATTGATTTTTGTCCTAAAAATTAACAATATGTTAATCGTCATCACCACTCAAACGCTTTCAAGAATCCTCCAAATATAGATGAATCGAGTCACCTGTCAAATTTTCCCTTAATTGATCTATAAAATCATGGTCAAATACTTCTCGCTCATCCCATATATTAATAACTCTTGTTATTGAGTTTTGAACATGAGGTACTGCATGACGATATGCATGTTCGATGGCTTCTGGAAGGACTTTTTTAAACGCTTGAATAAATTCAGGTCCTTTTCTACGACTATTTTGACAAACATCATTACAAAGATAAATAAACGAAAGTTTTCGAGCCGATGATGCTTTGTTTTGCAATATATATATATATATATATATATATAGATCGATAGTTTTACGAATTGTAAATTAAACAGAGAAGTAATTTAAATAAGTACTTCATGTCTAGGATTTAAAGACAATTCTTCATTGAAAAAGTCCTTCTAATATGTAATGTGCTCATTGGTATAAAAAACCATCTTGAACCAAATGTTCCAACGAGTTTGTACTGTAAATGGCACTTTTTATTGGTATAAGAATTTCATTAAATCTCAAATGTTAACATTCTTAAAATCTGAAAATTTTTTCCAATTAAATGTACACAAGAGATGTGGCATTAATGATTTTAAAACTTCATAAAGGTGATTTAGAGACAAGGATCCAAGGAAATGAATGACAAAGGAATTTTAAATTAACATGAGTTAAATAATCAACTGACACTAAAACAGAGTATTTAATACACTCCTCGAACAATCAAGTATTTTTTGAATTGAAAAATGGTAACAAATTATTCACTTTTAATCAAATCTTCAATAACCGCCTTTCTTGATTCATTTGATGAAATTAACGAATTGAGTGTTGTTGTTGATAATCATTATTATTATTGTTTTCATAAATTCTATGATTTTTTTTATGAGCTTGACTCATGCAGTTGATTTACGACTCCACTTAATAGAATAATCACAAAAAAATACAAAAAAGTGTCCTGTTATCTACTCTAAATATATATATTAACCCATGCTAGTAGTAGTTGTAAAAGAATGGATGAATTTTTATATATTGCTATTATTATTACCATTTTTAATATCAGTGTTGTGAGGTAGCTTTTTGGCCAACCTCGATTATTTTAAGTTTATGGCCGAGTTTCGAGTCAACTTTTTAGCTACGTTCGTTGATTAGTTGCAATTATTTTATTTTATGAATTTATCCTGCTTACTTCCTCTTTCTTGTATCTAGAAAGCTTTGAAAAATCTGCAAGTGCACTTTATGGTACAATTAACAACGATTACAATAAGTAAAAACGACCCTTCTACGAAGAAGCAACAAAGGCTCCTGTAGAGTTCCATTTTTATTTGCCGATGGAAGTCGGCCGTACGTTTGCAACAATCACTTTAACACAATACAATAAAACAACCAATATGTGATAACGAACAACTTTGTTCAATAACCGTTAGCTCTTTGTATGGGTGGTCAATCAGTAATAACTGTTAACGCCGATCAGTCTTAACACCTTACTATTACACTTAAACAACTAATCCCGTTTACATAAATTAAACAAAAGCATTTATGCTATATATAACAAAACCAAAAATAAAACTTTTGCTTTCTTTACTAAAGCAAATACACAAACAAAACCTTTGCTTTATACCAAAGCAAATAACCAAAACTTCAGAGTTCTATGCCACTCTGATAACCAAACGGACAATTAAACCTTACTGTTTGATCTCCAACCATAAAAGTGGTTTATTAAACTACAAACGAATTATTTGTAAAAAAAATAATTTTATATTAACTTTCTTGCTTCTACTCTCTGAATTATTGATATAGAATTATTATTTATAATAATTTTTATAATCTTTTCTTTTAAAATTAATTATTTTTTGTTCCGTTAATACATTTCTTTAGATGTTGAATTATTCCCTCTTCCTCTCCTGATTTTTCAACACATGCTTTACAGAAGGTTCTAATAATAATATGTTGATGTTAACTTGTGGCTTATACTACTAGTCCCAACTGTCCGAGGCATTCACATAAATGAGCTGTTACGTAGACATTTTGTACAACACTGATTACTATTATTAGAATGAACATCACTTTTTATAAATTATGTATCATTTATGGCGTGATTATTCATTATATGTGGAATTTTACTTCTTCATCCCGATAGAGGTAAATGCACCCCTCATATTCTGCACTGCACTGCATGGGTATTTTTTGAAAACTATCAACTAGACGAGTTGAGGTATAGTGCGCTGCAATTGCACCGCCAAATCTTCAAGCCCCAAAATAGCAATGATATTCTATGGTGTTACAGGCTTATAAAATCACATGACTCAATCATTATGAAAAGTATATCCAAATAAATTTTTACTTGAATAAATGAATAAAACAAATACATAATTCAATGAATAATTTAGATAAACAAATTAAAAAAATAATTGAATGAACAGATAATTCTAATAAACAAATAAATGAATAATTCAAGTAAAATGAATAATTTGAATAAACAAATAAAATGAATAATTCCAAAATAATTTCATATAATCAATTTCTTTGAGTTTTCTTCACTTGATGCATATTCTAAATTTTTATTCAATTTGTTATTTGATTTGTTTTAAATGTGGAGTTTGCTTATTTTGTCTTGGCCTTTTTTTAATTGGAGGAATGTAAATTTGTTAGTAATGTATTGTTTGTTGATTACTTAAAAAAAAATACGATAATCAATTTTTTATTAACAACATAAATAAATTCATATACAACACATGTGTACGTAGTAAATAATTATAAAATAAAACTGTCTAACATAAGTTGTTTTGGATTATCCGAACACGTTTATGAATTTTGATTTTAAACTATTTATCATTTTTGATTCTTGATAGCTAATTGTAAAATTATCCGGTGGATTTTTTAAATATTGAATCACTTTTTCTAAATTATTCAATGCCTCTTTATAACCATCATTTCCACTTCTTCCTCTTCGTCAGAGTCATCAACCTCACGATTTGGTTCACTGCTCTAGTAATTTTTTCATCAGTAAAAAAAAAGGAGGATTAATTTATTGTTAAAAAAATTAATCAAGAATAGAATGTGTTAAAATTATTTGTGCATTATTAGAAACCACATTAACATTAACCATTAATGTAAAAGATTGCCATAAAACCACGATTTCCACTATAACGAACAAATTTTATTATAAAGAGGATTGGGGAAATAAAAAAGTATATACACTATAGGCAAAATCCACTATAACGAGCTTTGGCTGTATAAAAAAATCGATTTTTCTGCAATTGATTAATATTAATATTTAAGTGATCAGTTGAAAAATCGAAAAAAAATCAAGTATATGAGGGAGAAATAAATAAATTAATAAATAAGCAAATAATATAATAACAATAATAACAATGGTAGTAGTAATAAATTATAATAATAATATATAGTATAATAATATTTACTTTAATTTTAATTTCAATTTTAGAAGTCTTTGGTTTTTAAATATCATAACCTAACGAACAAACCCATACATAATATACATACTAATATACATTATTTCATTCTAAACGTTATAAACATAATAATAGCGCTAATAATAACAACAATAACAGCAGTAGTAATAAATAATAATAGTATTATTTGAAACAATTTTAATTTTACAAATCCGTACACTAATATACATAATAATATTAATATTAATATTCTAAATATAATAATTGTGTGATAATGAAAAAAAAACCCCCCCAATATTTACTATTTTAGCCAAAAATATTTGGCAATTCCTTCTTCATCAGTTTCTTCGGAAAGACTTTTCACTGATGCGGGACAACAAATTATTTTGTTACGAAATAGACTTTGCTCGTAATCCGTTGATCATGGCTTTCGGGTTAGCCCGTCCGTTCGGAGCTTTAGTTTCTATGATGATATCTAAGGTTTGATAACTTCTGATCGTACACTGCCAGATCTTACAAGAATATATGGTCACATAACAATTCTTTTTGATTTCGTTCAACCATTAACCTTTGGAAAAAGGAATACCTTTTAATTTAATTATTATATTTCTAAATATATATATAAAATATTAAAAAAAAACATATTACCATTACTTGAGTCCATAAAACTAATTAATCAACACCAGATGAGATTCAATAATTAATGCTAAGGAAACGAACAATTCTAGAATTATCGAAGCTAATGCCGTTCAAAAGTAGAATAAGATAATAATCTTTAAATCTAATTAATTATATATTTTGGTTGATAAAAAACAAACTTAGCTTTTTTGTTGTTATTTAATCCTTTCCTTTTGTGAATATCTGCATCCATTAAATATTCATGATAATTATTCAATACATTTGATGTTGCCATTGATATAACAAACAATTGCATCACCCAAGTAGTAATAATACCAAAATAAATTTTTTTAATAATGCATGTCTACCAGTAGTTCACAAGAATAAATAAATAGGGAGGGTTTTCCTTCCCAATAATAAATCTGATGTTGATCACAGGTGTCAGATTTAATTAAATTTTCCTTACCACAAACAATGGTACCGCCTCCATCCTTGCATAAAATTTTTACTACAAGTGAAGGCTCCCCAATTGTTTGAAGGTTTTTTCATAAAGTCAACAAAAACTTTCCCTTATTTTCCCCTCGGACCAGGCTTGATTGTTGCCGTATGGGGCATTGATCACTGATGAAGATCTGCATTTGTGTGATGATTGCTTTGTGTTATACCCCTCTAGAATAAAGTCTGTGTCTGCAACGGATTGCTGTTTTGGATTTCCCAGAATTTAGGCACACCAATGTTGGTCAAATGAAAATTAAAGAACCTTCTCTGGTTTGGGGAAGATTAGTGAAAACATCGTTGACTATTGGTCGATGAACAGAACTCTGTTTGCATCGTTCTATCTCTTTGAGAGTATCTCGGTCAGATTAGCCTTGTGTAAATGAGGAACGTGAGAATGACTGTAGTGTCCAAGACAGTGTGCGTACTTTAACGCCTGGGTAAGATATGTCGGGGATAAGATATGACAAGGTTAAGGTATGACCCTAAGCTCATACCTTAACCCTCACATATCTTACCTTCGACATATTTGGTAGTCAAACCTTGTCCTTGTATCTTAAACCTGATATATCTTACCCTCGACATATCTGGTAATCAAACCTTGTCCTTGTATACTCAAAATGTTTCTTTTTCAACAGTGTGCTGCCTTGACGTGTAATTATATATTTATAATAATATTAATATTGCTACTGATTACGAAAAGCAAATACCAATTATTTACCATCTTGATGAGGATCTTATAATTACCTAGCAAGATCTGCTCCGCGTTTTGATTTCAATTAAAATATTTACAAATTAAAAAAAGTACCTCTGGTCAATTATTAACGCGTTTTCAGGCAAAAAAAAAAAACGACAGAAATTTGTTATGTAGATCTGGGATATAAAACTTATCATTATTACTATATAGTTAATTAATTTTATGAAATAAACTAAATAACTGAACATTTACATAATGATAAACATGATCACGGAGATTTTATTTAACTTTTCCAAGAATGATCGTCGAATAGGCAAAGATGGGTGGTGGTGGTAGTACAATTGTATTTATTTGTGACTTACCTTGTCTGGTTTTGTTGCATTATCACTATGAGAGTGGGCTATCCATTAATCATTTAGAAGCCACACAACACTGCCACACTAATCAACATTATAAAATATCAAAATAAAAATCTCTTTTTACAAATAATTAAATAAATTTTTTCTTTCAAAATTATAAACAATGTCAACGCCATCAACAACTACAACACAAGCAGCAGAACCAGCAACAAAAGAAGCAGAACCATTAACAAAAACAACAGTAGTGACAAAAAAAACACTTACACCCGAGGAAAAATATGAATTAATCACAAGAAATCTTCAAGAAGTTTTGGGGGAAGAAGAAATTTTAAAAATTCTCAAGGAAAGAGATTTAAAACTTTACTGGGGTACAGCACCGACTGGTAAACCGCATATTGGATATTTTGTACCAATGTCAAAAATTGCAGATTTTTTAACAGCTGGTGTTGAGGTTTGTCATATTCTTTTTTTTCATATTTTAATTAAAAAAAATTAGAATTTTTAAATTTATTATTTTATTTAATGATTGGAAAGATAGGTTACGATTTTATTGGCTGATATTCATGCTTTTCTTGATAATATGAAAGCACCATTAGAACTTGTAAAATTCCGAACCAAATATTATGAGGTGCTTATTAAAACCACTCTTGAATCAATTGGGGTACCAATTGAAAAACTGAAATTTGTAATCGGGTCAGATTATCAGTTGACACCCAAATACAGCATGGATAATTATAAACTTTGTGCAATAGTTACAGAACACGATGCAAAAAAAGCAGGTGCAGAAGTGGTTAAACAAGTAGAGTCAGCTTGTTTATCGGGTTTACTTTATCCAGGATTGCAAGCACTAGACGAAGAATATTTAGAGGTTGATGCACAATTTGGAGGTGTCGATCAGAGAAAAATATTTGTTTTTGCCGAGAAACATTTACCGCATCTTGGATATAAGAAAAGAATACATTTAATGAATCCGATGGTTCCTGGCTTGGCAGGATCCAAAATGTCATCATCAGATCCAGATTCCAAGATTGATTTACTTGATGATTTAAAAACTATTACTCGTAAAATGAAGAAAGCATTTTGTGAAGAAGGCAATATTACAGAGAATGGACCTTTATCATTTGTAAAATCAGTTTTATTTCCATTGTATTCGCTCAACTTCAAAACACCACAATTTACAATCAAAAGACCAGAAAAATATGGTGGAGATGTTAACTATGAAGATTATCAATCTTTGGAAAATGACTTTCGTGATAAAAAAGTCCATCCTGGAGATTTAAAAGCATCAATTACACAAAATATTAATGCAATATTGGAACCTATTAGAAAGAAATGGGAGAGCGATCCTGAACTTCAAGAATTGGTTAAAAAAGCATATCCAGAGCCAGCCCCAAAAACTGTAAATAAGAAAAAAACAAAAAGTAATAATAGTAATAGCCAAAGTTCTACTTAATAAAATCCTACTAATGTATTTTATTTATTTCAACTTGAATATTATCAAATAGAAATTTAAAAACTAAAATATCTATCTAATTTCTATATTTATATACGTATGTAAATACATTTATAATAATAATAAATTATTTATTATTACGGAGCAATCACTTACACTTATTTAATTCAAAAATATCACACTACATATGTTTAGGGACATGCCATATATTAACAGAGATCCATTTACTATAGTAATATGCATGTGAGATTGTGATCAAACAGAAACTTTCTCAAAATAATCAATATACATGTAATTTAAATTCAATAGTTGATCCTGAACTGGAGTCCTTGTTTGACCAAATCTTAATTAGCCATAAAACTCATCTATCATTTTAATTCTTTTAATTCAATGGATGATGAGACACAATAAATATTCGCACCTTCTTTTGATCCAGTGGACTTGAGAATGCTGACAATAAAATATTTTTCCAGTGTACGAGTTGGGTTGAGTTGGGTTGAGTTGAGTTATTATAAATAAATAAATAAATAAATAACAAAAAAACACAGAAAATAAATAAACGTAGCTAGCTTCTTTGAATGTTTCATTACTTTGTCGGCATTAAGTTTTGTAATGGTTATAGTTTTTGGTGGCAAAAAAAAGGCTCTGAGAGTGAGTACTCGGTGAATTTCTATTTAACGGATCGAGACTTGGAATGGTGGTAATAATAATATATAATAATAGTAAACTCTCTCGGTATAATAGAATACTATCTAGTGTCGCACAAATGGTACCAAGTGTAAAAATAAGCATCATCCTAAAGCACTTGCACTACACTTGATTTCAATTTTAAAAGCATAATAAAAATATCTGCGTACAGGAATAATTTCTTTATTAATAATAATACCATCAGCCAATTGTTTAATGTTTAATGATATCCCCAGGAAGTATATTTTTTTGCTTCATGGGAATGACTTAGTTTTTTAAAGTGAGTGTACGGTATTAGCGTATTATTTTTATTATACTTGTAATTCAAGCAAGTATGTCGAGAAAATATTCTGAATTTATTTTTTATAAATGCACATTCTTTAAAAGTTCCTGTAAAAAGCATTAATAATACTCGTAAATGGTTGTTATTGTAAATTGGTCCGCGCATTCATTCTTGTAATTAAAAACAATCATCCTTGGAACCAGATGATATATATGTTTTAGTATAAATGCTAACTAAATCTTTGTTTGCCATCAAGTTCCCCAAAAAAGTAACGGGCTTTCCCGGAGGCATGAATGCGATCGGACATACATAAATAAATAATATTCCAATATCATTGTAATTCAAAATCAAAACAAAACTTTATCACATATTTATAACTAACAAACATTCGATGCTACATTGGACACCGGGTCTTCAAATCTCTGGATCATCAAATATGGCGGAGCATTTTTATTTCTGGTGCCACTTCAAAAGACAACGTCACAAACAAATGTTTGGACTTGCAATTGTAGTATCGTCCAATCTGATAAAATATCCTTTGATGGAATTTTAGGAATGGGCTTCGACAATTCAATCACTATGGATAATGATGCTGCAATGTTAAATACCGTGCTAGAGACGTTAACGGACTTGTTTATTTTAGGCGATGTTGATAATTTCAAATTTGGCAAGTAGATTAATAATGGTTGTTTAACGATAAGACACTTTCTTTCATTAGAAAAGCATTTGCATTAGTTGACAAAGATAAAAATTTTCTATTTTGTAACAATGATTTCAAGTTTTAATTTGATAGACATAATCAATGGTACCTCCTGGTTTTAACGCTAGATTGTCCTGATACTTTGAAACATTTTTTTCTTTGGCATTAAACAAATCAAGTAAGTGCGTAATTAAAAAATTTATTTCGTAATATTAGTATAAACTTTTTTCCCCATTTCCCTTACATTATTTAAACACACACGCACGCATAATACATGTATTAATAATAATTAATAATCATTATTATTATCCTCCTTACACATTCTTTTGTAAATTGTATTGTCTGCATAATATTTTGTTATTTTCCAAGGGAAAATAAAAGAGAAAATGGACACCGAAAGTTACAACAATACACAATCACAATCCTTCAATTACAACCCGTTGTTTTATTATTATAGACAAAACAAAGATCATTATAATCGACATTATTCCTATTACCCAAATTACAATAACTTTACTAATATTAATACCACTAATAATATTATTAATTCAATTTATGGATCATTATACGATATCAATTAAATTATCAATTTGTCTTTGAGGTACATTATGTTCGTGCAAAGCACCCACACGACCCGGACTAATGTATAGTGTTTTAATATTTCTAGATGTTTTCGATGCGCTCAAAAATATTTCATATTTTAAAAAATCTCCGATACAAGTGAATTGTTTTAATTTTGCCAGGCACTCATCTGACCCTGGTAAACCAAACACATTCAAATGATTATTCTTTACCATAAACATGTCACCTGTTTCAATCGACAGCTTAACCAAAGAATTTGATTTCAGCATAAACATTTCCAATAAAACCCTTGATAGAATCGCCACCCTTTCCCTATAAACTTCGCACCATTTATCATATAGATTAAACCATTTTGATACTGAAATGTATAAATCAAGGTATGATAAATTTTTTAGAAATATTGGATAATCAAACATTGGTAGAAAAACGGTAGCTCCGAAATAATCATAATCGTCATTGTATTCTTCTTCGTTTATTAATAATGTTCCTGTTTCTTGTTTAATTTTCTGTATTTGTTCAGCCGAAAGAAATCTCATGTAGATTTCTATTAGTTTTGAGGAAGGTGAAGACCTGGTTATACGAAAAGGTTGACTCCATAATACTTCTACAGTTAGT